CTTAACCGACTGCGCCACCCAGGCGCCCCTGTTTTAATTTTTTAAAAATGTTTATTTTTTTTTTTTTTGAGACAGAGACAGAATGCGAGTGGGTTGGGGCAGAGAGAGAGGGAGGCACAGAATCTGAAGCAGGCTCCAGGCTGCGAGCTGTCAACACAGAGCCTGACGCGGGGCTCGAACTCAGAAGCTGCGAGATCATGAACTGAGCTGAAGTTGGTCAGATGCTCAACCAACTGAGCCACCCAGGCGCCCCTCCCCAACCTACTGTTTACACTGAATTTACCATATAAGCTAGTGATACATTTTCAGGTTCTGCATTTTGAGATGCCTGCCAATCAATATTTAATTGATTTCTCTAGTTATATTTTTTAAAATTAATTTATTTTTAAGTAATCTCTGAGCCCAATGTGGGGCTTGAACTCACAACCCCAAGATTGAGAGTCCTAGGTTCTACTGATTGAGTCAGCCAGGGGCCCTGTATTTTTTAATTATTTGGATATTTTGTTGCATTTTAGCAGAGAACAGAAATATTGATACTAGTGATAAGAAGTGCAGGTGTGAAATAGAGGTTTCCACTTACGGAATGAATAAGTCACATCATAAAAGGGACTGCATTAAGGAATATAGTCAGTGATAATTGTAATAGGGATGTATACGGACAGATGGTAGCTACATTTGTGGCAGGCAGCATAATGTATAAATTTGTCGAATCCATTTTGTTGTACACAGTGAAACTAATGTAATACTATATGTCAACTATACTCCCCACCCAAGGAAAAGGTATAGGCCTCATCAATTTAATACTGTTGAGACAAAGATAGAAATCATGAGGTCTTTAGCCTCAGTCACACGTAACCTGATTGGCTACAGATTCAAGCATGAGGGAAAGAAACGATCAAAGAACATGTATGAATTGCTGGGAATAAATTGGAAAAGATATTCAAAAGGCAAAAAATAGAGATTTTCTATAAATGTTTTTTACTGTTTATTTTTGAGAGAGAGAGGCAGAGCGCAAGCTGGGGAAGGGGAGAGAGAGAGGGAGACACAGAATCTCAGACAGGCTCTGAGCTCTGAGCTGTCAGCACAGAGCCCAATGCAGGGCTTGAACTTTCGAACTGCAAGATTATGACCTGAGCCAAAGTTGGTTACCTAGTTGACTGAGCCACCCAGGCACCCCTCTGTAAATATTTTTAGATTTCAATATATAGAACTCCTCTTGTATGTCTTTTTTAACTTTTACATATATGATATTTTATACTTTATCAAGTATGCATTATATACATGTTTCCAGGAATACATTATCAAGCAAAAGTAGCGTGTCTGGTAATGTTCTCTTGATATAAATACATAGAATCTGACATACTGAATAAGATGACACTTTTTTTTTTATGACACTTTCATAATAACACTAGATTGGCTTTAAAATATGTCCACATTTAACTCTATTATTTTTTTTTTAATATAGATACTAAAGTATCTAGAAGGCTTTTAATCCTAGGAGATTTTCAGCATAGAACATTTGTTCAGCATGTGCTTTCTCTAAAAAAAATAAAATGGCTATTAACTTTTTCAAATATAATTTCTTATACTCAAAAAGTTGTGGGAGCAGGGGGTACCTGGCTGGCACAGTTGGTTGAGCACACAGTTCTTGGTCTCAGGGTTGTGAGTTCAAGCCCCACATTGGGCATAGGGCTTAGTTTAAAAAAAAAAGTTATCAAGGGGAGTGAAGGTACTATGATTCCTTCATTGTTCTTGGCTGTCCAATTCATTTTGGATTCATAATAGTTTTTTTTTTTAATTTAATTTAATTTTTTAATTTACATCCAAGTTAGCATATAGTGCAACAATGATTTCAGGAGTAGAGTCCTTAGTGCCCCTTACCCATTTAGCCCATCCCTCCTCCCACAACCCCTCCAGTAACCCTCAGTTTGTTCTCCATATTTAAGAGTCTTTTATGTTTTGTCCCACTCCCTGTTTTTATATTATTTTTGCTTCCCTTCCCTTATGTTCATCTGTTTTGTATGGATTCATAATAGTTTTTAACATCACCAGGGACTGGTGATTTTAGTGTACTACGTAAATTTACTGAGCGTCCTGACTAGCTTTTTTTTTCTCCTGTAGAGGACATTCAATCCAAATGTATTGGAATAGTTCAGTTTGAAGAGTATTGGCCCTACTTTCCCTTTCATGCTCAGATCCCTCTCTCCCTCTCTAGCAGAAAGTTTAAAGCCTATATTATAAGCTCTTTCAAATCAGTAAGGTACCACTTAGTTTATGTAATAATCTTAATCAGTTAATCAGAATTTCTTCCCTTAACATTCTGGATAAAAAGAACTTAACTATAGGGGCACCTGCATGGCTCAATTGGTTAAGCATCTGACTTTGGCACAGGTCATGATTTCACAGTTTGTGGATTCGAGTTCCGCATTGTGCTCTGTGCTTACAGCTCGGAGCCTGGAGCCTGCTTTGGATTCTGTGTCTCCCTCTCTCTCTCTCTGCCCCTCCCCCGCCTGTGCTCTCTGTCTCTCAAAAATAAATAAACATTTAAAAAATTTAAAAAAAAGAACTTAACTATATGTGGGTTTTCAGAGAATTAGAATACAATGATGCAGACTTAATTTTAAAGCTCTAGTAAACATAATTTTACCTTCCTTTGGTGATTCACAAGGCATGTCACTATCTTACAGTCCCTTAACATTTCAACATATTTTATGATTTTTTTACTATAGTTGTAGTAGATATAGAGAATTAAGCTAAATCCATTACTATTCTGAGTTGCTTTAGGAAATTTTTTCTTTTTCTTTTTTTTTTAAAGTTTATTTTGAGAGAGAGAGCATGTATGCACGTGAGCAAGATGGGGAGGAACAGAGAGAGAGAGAGAATCCCAAGCAGGCTCCATGCTGTCAGCACAAAGCCTGATGTGGGGCTCAATCTCACACACTGTGAGATCGTGACCTGAGCCAAAATCAAGAGTTAGACATTTAACCAACTGAGCCACTCAGGTGCCCTAGAAATTTTTTCTCGATAAAACCTTGTTTACTCATAAAAATATAGACTGTGCACCTACTTCCCACTACAAGTGCAATTCACTGGTTGTTGAAATTATGTATAAATAAGAATTTCTTTTTTTTTTTTTAAGTTTATTTATTTCGAGGGAGAGAGAGAGAGCATGACAGGGAAGAGGCAGAGAGAGGGAGAGAGTGACAATCCCAAGCAGGCTCCATGCCATCAGTGCAGAGCCTGATGTGGGTGTCCAAATCATGAACCATGAAATCATGACCTGAGCCGAAATCAAGAGTCAGCCACTTAACTGACTGAGCTACTCAGGCGCCCCAAGAATTTCACCCTAAGGAAAAAAAAAAAAGGATTTTTGCACATATTGGTCAATTTAGAGTGAGTTTACTGAACTTATTTGAAGCAGTGATTATTCATGTTTATCATAATCCTCATTCACCAACCAACCACTTATTGGGTGCTTTGTTGTGTTCCAGTTAGTATTTGACACAGTAGACATACAAATTGAATAAGTAAATAAGACATAATCTCTGCTCTCAGGGACCTCTTAGACCATGCCCAAGGGAAGGCAGACAGGTAAACAAACATATAATATGAAGTGTTATATGTGTTGTAACAAAGGCATAAAGTACAGTTGGGTCAAAAGAAGGAAGTAGGTGATTATACTGGAGGGACTGATATGGAAGGAAAAGCATCATAGAGGCTACTGACTACAAAGCAAATAGACGGGCACCTTGCAGGCTCAGTGAGTAGAACATGCAATTCTTGATCTTAGGGTTGTAAGTTCAAGCCCCATGTTGGGTGTAGAGATTACTTAAAAATAAAATCTTGGGGCACCTAGGTGGCTCAGTCAGTTGAGCTTCTGACTCTTGATTTTGGCTCAAGTCATGATCTCACAGCTCACGGGATCGAGCCCTGTGTCGGCTCTGTGGTGACAGCATGTAGCCTACTTGGGATTTTCTCTACCCCTTTCCCCACTCATGTGTGCTCTCCTTATCTGTCACAATAAATAAAATTTAAAATAATAAATAAATAAATAAATAAAATCTTTTTTAAAACCCCACAAATACACAAATAGATGGGGAAGCATGTTCTGGGGAAAGCGGGAAATAAGAACAAAGATAGAAGGTATAAAAGAACATGACAGTTCTGAAAACCACAAATAATTTGGTATGAGTGGGGCTTGGAGTATAAGGTGAGGTTTAGGGAGAGCTGAAACCAGGGGCCAGATCTTAGAGCAACTTAAATATCCTATTAAGGATTTGGGGCTTTATTATAACAGCAAGTAGAGGGTTCTTGAAGGGTTTTCCGAAGGGATTTCTGTGATCACTCTGGTAGGAATATAGAAGATCAGGTGGATGCAAGGAGACTAGTTCAGACTAGAAATGATGCAGCCTAAATTAAGGCAGTAGCAGTGGAAAAAGAGACAGGGAGGCTGGCTGGTGTTAAGGAGATACATCTGGTAGGATTTGGTGGCTGAGTATGTGGGAGGTGAGGAGGAGGAGGGAGAAATCTGATGAAATTCCCAGGCTTCTGTCTTAGGCTATAGAATGCTAGGAGTGCCATTAAGAAAGATAGAGAATAGAAGAGTGGTTTGGGAGAGGGAAGAGAACTTGGTTATTTTAGACATAATGAATTCCACAAAGTCCTGCGGTACATCCAAATATATTTATTCATTTAGCAGTTAATTGTATCCTGGTGTGAAATTTAGAGGAGAGGTCTGTGCTAAAGGTGTCACCATGGGGGTGGGTGATCACTGATACAAGGGATATTATTCAGGCAGTGCTTTCAAACAAGATGCAATAGTTAATGCATTAAGTTTATTATAAAAATTAAACAGAGGTCATCAGCGTATTTTATTAGGTTATTTGAGCACATTTCTTAGAAGGTAGAGACATTTAGAGACTTTCCCTGAGGTGGTATCTCTAATGCTAGTTACTTTGGGCATAGTTTTTAACTAGGCTCTGCTCATGTCAATAGTTTGGTTATGAGTCTTTGAAAAATGCAGAAGTGCTAAAAAAGACTGAAGTGTCTAGATTCCAACAAAGGACATCAACTTGTGTGGTCAATGGGTTCTTCCTGTCTTGAACTGTCCAACAGTATTACTTTTGAATCTTGCTAGGATAATTCTATAATATGACTTAGTCTTATAGTTGAAGCAACATTTTATGTCAGAAGTGTTTAAATTTAGGAAGGGAAAAGTCTGGTGTAAGGACAGTAGCAAGAGGAACTTGGCTTTGAGGTGAGGAAAGTTATTGATTCTTGTGCATGGTAGTGGCTGCTAAGCTGTCCTCGGCAGCTTGGAATGTAAATACAGTGGGGAACTAGTCAAAGCACTAACATAGTGTTGTAAAGTGTATTTATTTTATTCCTTTTGAGATAGATTATAAGAAATTTCTTAACTCCATGCTGTGAATATTAATTTTTTCATGATTTATGTAGTTTGTTTATCGATGGACACTTTTACAACAGGATTTATGAACCTGGGTCCGAGAACAACACGGCAGTCGTGGCAGTAGAAACTCACACGATTCACAAAATTGAAGAAGGGATTGGTAAGTCTTTCGTTATTTTCTCGCCTTTGACCCTAGCTTCCTTGGTTGAAATTTGTTGCCTTTTATGCCTTATGTCCCCCCTCCCATACCCAGTATGCCCCACCAATGCCGCAGCCATCGATTTGATGGCGCATCTAGAGACACCACTAAGATGCTAGAGCTGTCAGTTGATTGTTTACATCAATTTGCTAGGATGCTGAAAAGATTTTTTTATCTACAAAAATTCCACAAAGAAATTGGAGCCTCAAGGTTGATCCTGTCATTAGAGAAGTTGCTGATGAGGACTTATCAGGTGTTGATTGGAAGGCAATCAGTGGAAAGAAACTGAAACAACAAACAAACAAATTTTGAAATTAGGCAAACCAGATTTTAAATCCTGTTTTCTCACTTCTTAGCTGTGTGTCCTTGGGAAAGTCACTTCACCTTTCCAAGTCCCACATGCCTACATAGGAAACAATCACTGCCTCACAGGATTGTTGTAAGAACTAAATAAGATTAAGCATGTAGAAGCACATAGGACAGTGTCTGACACATAGTGTGAGCTTGGTAAGAAAGCTGGTGTGCCAAACTTCTTGCAGAAGATTCCTAAACAATACCAGCCAATGTGAACTGTTAGCTCCTTAGAGGAACCAGGAAACTAGAGATTTTGAATTAAGCTTTTGGGGGAAAAGTGTTCAATAAATAATTGATATTTTTTTCCGTTTTCAGATGCAAGCACTATAGAAGCAAATGAGGATATGGAAATTGCTTACCCCATAACTTGTGGGGAGAGCAAAGCCATTCTCCTCTGGAAGAAGTTTGTATGTCCAGGAATAAATGTGAAATGTGTCAAGGTAATTGTCTTTTCTCCTTGCTGGGGCCTGTTTTGGGGCCCCTTGTTTTCAAAGAGTATAGTTTCAGTACCTCTTCTCTCTCGTCTACCATATCAGTGTTTTCAGTTTTGTGGCTGTAGTCCCGTGCTGTCACGGTAGAAAAAATTAAGGACTTTGGAGGGAAATTGACCTGGATTCAAGTTCCACGCAGAATACAAGATCTATAAGAGCTGAGAACTTGTTTGTCTTGTTTATCAGTGTATCCCCAGCACCTAGAATGATGTTTGGTATATTTATCAATAAATATTTGTTGAATGAATGAATGAAGTCCCATATCTATGACTGACTAGCTAGGTGACCTTGAATAAGTTATTTAATATTTCAGAGGCTCGTATGTTTTTTTTTTGTTTTTAATTTTTTTTTTTTAACGCTTATTTATTTTTGAGACAGAGAGAGACAGAGCATGAATGGGGGAGGGTCAGAGAGAGGGAGACACAGAATCCAAAACAGGCTCCAGGCTCTGAGCTGTCAGCACAGAGCCCGACGCGGGGCTCGAACTCACAGACCGTGAGATCATGACCTGAGCCGAAGTCGGCTGCCTAACCGACTGAGCCACCCAGTTGCCCCATAGAGGCTCGTATGTTAAAATACGAATAATCATATGCACAACACACACACATACTATAAGGTTGCTAGCACATGAAATGAGATAATATGTGTAAAATGCCTTACACAAGTGTGCATTATGGTAGAGGTTATTGAAATTTATCACTGATAAAAATAAATTTTCAGGAGAGCACAATGTGGAAATAATTGCTTATTCTGTCTCCAGTGGTAGTCACGACGGTACCCGTAGATAGTAGTCACCACCTTTGGTATCATCCTAGAATCATGAAGGATTGCAGAATTTTGAAGCTCTGCAGTGATAATGGTTTCTATGCTAGTCTTTCTACCATATCTTGAATCTTGTCATTAGGGCTAGGTAGGTTATTTCAGTTTATTTAAACAGCCTTTGCAACATTGAACCCAAGTACCTGATTTAGGGCATAAATGGATTTCAGATGTTAATCAGTATATTAATCTCTGATCATCCTCGTGTCTTCTGTAGCTTTGTACCAAGACAGGGCACTATGCCCAGGGAAGGGTCATCTTCTCTGGTACAACAGGGCAGAAGGCTGGAAGATACAAGGCTATGACTTAAGATGCCATCTGGGCACTTTTCGTATGTAACAAGTAGAGTTACCTTTCTTTCCCTCTTGGCCTGCGTCAGTTGACCTTGATTATTTTGGATTTTTTCCTTTTCCTTTAGTTCAATGATCAGTTGATCAGCCCCAAGCATTTTGTTCATCTGGCTGGCAAGTCTACCCTAAAGGACTGGAAGAGAGCCATTCGTCTGGGTGGAATCATGCTCAGGTGAGCTTTTAACAAGCACATACCAGGGTGCCTGGCAGGCTTAGTCAGAAGAGTGTGCACCTCTTGATCTCAGAGCTTCACGTTGAGTACAGAGATTACTTTTTGTTTGTTTGTTTTTTCAATTTACTAGATTACTTTAAAAAATTAAAAAATTAAAAAAAATAAGCACATACCTTTCAACTGACTTTGGGGCACTTAATTATGGTAGAATATAGATAATTCCATATTTTCTCTTCAGTTTGAAATTTTTATTCCCTCTGAAGAATTGGCTTGAACAACCCAGGTATTGACTTTCATCAGTTTGTTCTTCATTTTTTTTTAAGTTTATTTATGTATTTTGAAACAGAGAGAGTACAAGCAGGGGAGGGGCAGAGAGCAAAAGAGAGAGAGAGAGAATCCTAAGCAGGTTCCACACTGTCAGCACAAAGCCTGATATGGGGCTTGAACCCATGAACCATGAGATAATGACCCGAACTGAAACCAACAGTTGGATGCTCAATCGACTAAGCCACCCAGGCACCCCAACTTGTTCTTAAAATCCCTGTAAGAAAAGGAAGATTGAATTAAATTAATTCTTCCCAGCATTTAAGGCAAATTTTTTCTAATGTCAGGATGTTAGGATCCTTTATGGACAGAGAAGTTTGGGAGTAGATGACAGTGCTACTTGAGATCACCAAGGGCAGGCAGAGCTAAGCCTGGTGCTGAGGAAGCATGATGACCATGGAAAAGTATAGGCTGACAAGTTCTGGGATAATATGGTAAAATGGAGGGTGCTGTTGATAAGTAATAGTCATGCTTAGTGAATGCAATCTTTGCCATCATTGAACCACAGAAATAAACTTGAGACTGTGTAATGCCCTTGAGATGCCGGGGTGGCCCAGTCAGTTAAGCGTCCGATTCTTGATCTCTGCTCAGGTCTTGATCTTAGTGTGTGAGTTCACTCCCCATGTTGGGCTCCATGCTGGGCATGAAGCCTTATTTTTTTTTTTTTTTAATTTTTTTTCAACGTTTTTATTTATTTTTGGGACAGAGAGAGACAGAGCATGAACGGGGGAGGGGCAGAGAGAGAGGGAGACACAGAATCGGAAACAGGGTCCAGGCTCTGAGCCATCCACCCAGAGCCCGACGCGGGGCTCGAACTCACGGACCGCAAGATCGTGACCTGGCTGAAGTCGGACGTTTAACCGACTGCGCCACCCAGGCGCCCCTATGAAGCCTTATTTTTAAAAAATGGGGCACCTGTGTGGCTGAGTCACTTGAGTGTCTGACTCTTGATTTGAGCTCAGATCAGGATCTCATGGTTGGTGAGCTCAAGCCCCACATTGGGCTCTGCGCTGACAGCACAGAGCCTGCTTGAGATTTCTGAAATCTCTCTCTACCTCTCCCCCATTCAGGCTCTTTTTCTCTCTCAAAATAAATAAATAAACATGAAAATAAAATTAGGAGCACCTGGGTGGCTCAGTCAGTTAAGCATCGGACTCTTGATCTTGGCTCAGGTCATGATCTCACAGTTTATGAGTTTGAGCCCCTTGTTGGGCTCTGTGCTGACAGCATGGAGCCTGCTTGGGATTCTCTCCTTTACTCTCTGCCCCTCCCCCGTGTGCGTGCTCTCTCTGTCTCTCCTCCCTCTCTCTCAAAATAAATAAGTAAACATTTAAAAAAAGTAAAAAACAAAAAAAGGATGTGTAATACCATCACCCCTATCTCTTTATACAGCAAATTTATTATTGTAATCCCCCCGCCCCCCGTGAAGATTAACATTATTTGGTAATTCTTGAGCACTCACTTACTGATAGAAAATTTTAAATTGTGGTCAAGAATGGAAAGTGCCCCACAGAACATGTATCAACAGCTTTGAGAACATCTTACTCTTTATCTTTAATTTTTTTTTTAATTAATGTTTATTTATTTTTGAGAGAGAGAGCTTGAGTGGAGGAGGGGCAGATAGTGTGACAGACAGAGGATCCAAAGCAAAGTGGGGTGGGCTCTATGCTGACAAGCAGAGAGCCCAATGTGGAGCTTGAACTCATGAACCATGAGATCATGACCTGAGGTGAAGTTGGTCACTCAACTGACTGAACCATCCAGGTGCCCCTGTCTTTAATTCTTTTTAAGGAATCTGTCCTAAGAAAAATCTATAGTGCTTGTAGAGATTCAGGCATAAAAATGTTCATTGCAGGGGCCCATGGGTGACTCAGTTGGTTGAGCATCCGACTTCAGCTCAGGTCATATCTCACACTTTGTGGGTTCGAGCCCTGCATCGGGCTCTGTGCTGACAGCTCAGAGTCTGGAGCCTGCTTTGGATTCTGTGTCTCCTTCTGTCTGCCCCTCTCCTGCTCATGCTCTGTCTTTCTCTGTCACTAAAAATAAATAAAGGTCAAAAATATTAAAAAAAAAAATGTCATTGCAACATTATTATGTTGAAAATTATAGTCTGCTTTAATATATATTCAAGGTATATTTAAAGTAAACTTGTGGCTCATCTAAATATATATGAGTATATACTATGAGATATTATGATGTCATTAAAAAATGAGGTAATTAAAAAAAAATTTTTTTTAATGTTCATTTCTGAGAACACGAGTGGGGGAGGGGCAGAGAGAGAGAGAGAGAGAGGGAGACGCAGAATCTGAAGCAGGTTCCAGGCTCTGATTTGTCAGCACAGAGCCCGATGCAGGGCTCGAAACCATGAACTGCGAGATCATGACTTGAGCCGAAGTCAGTCGCTTAACCAACTGAGCCACCCAGGCACCCTGAGGTCATTTTTTAAAAGATTTTACTTTATTTATTTGTTTGTTTTTAAGTTTATTATTTATTTTGAGAGAGTGAGTGAGGGAGGGGCAGAGGGAAAGGGAGAAAGAGAATCCCAAGCAGGCTTTGCACTGTCAGCGTAGAGCCCAATGTGGGACTTGAACTCACGAAGCATGAAATCATGGCCTGAGCTGAAGTCAGGCACTTAACCAACTGAGCCATCCAGGTGCCCCAAAATTGTATTTATTTTTTAATTTAATTTAATTAAAAAAAATTTTTTAACCTTTATTTTTGAGAGAGAGACAGAGTTCAAGCAGGGGAGGGGCAGAGAGAGAGGGAGACACAGAATCCAAAGCAGGCTCCAGGTTCTGAGCTGTCAGCACAGAGCCTGATGTGCGGCTTGAACTCATGAACTGTGAGATCATGACCTGAGCCAAAGTTGGACACTTAACCAACTGAGCCACCCAGGTGCCCCT